TTTAGGAATTGCGAGAGAGTCCATCAAAAGGAAGGGGGATATTACACTGAGTCCCAAGAATGGCTACTGGACTATGTGGTTAAGGAATAATGAATATAGGGCACTTGAAGGCACCTCTGTTCTCCTATCACTGAGTACAAAACCCAAGAAGGTGGGGATATACTTGGATTATGAGGAGAGACAGGTCTCCTTTTACAATGTGGAGACCAGGAATCACATCTACACTTTCACTGACACCTTCACTGAGAAACTGTATCCATACTTCAGTCCCAACATCAATGATGATGGCAAAAACTCTGGCCCACTGATCATCTCTCCCACTGAGATAACAGACTAAACATCAAGGTCAGGTTTCTTGTAGTACTACATATAGACTGCTTCGTTTTATTATTCATTTTGATGATTCATTGTAACATTTGCAGATATTGTTTTTAGTTTGAGTTAAAATAATATAGGTAAATAAAAATGGACACAATGAAATGTTTATGCTGAAAGAAAGGTTACAAATGGGATATATATATAATGTTTAAACCTAAAGAACATATTTTATACAGTAGTTCATACTCATTCATGCTAATCTAATCTGAAACTCACAGTTTAGGTTTTTTAACATTTCATATTTTTAACTGTTTTTGAATGACTTTGTTGTGATTTCTTTAGCTAATATTGTATATTAGGTATTCACCCCCAGAAGTGTTCCTGCTAGGCATATACTGTAAATAATAACAATTCCATTCAAAGGCATAACTACGGTATCAGGATGGGTTGCCTGCTTGATAGTTATTATAGAATTATAGTTCTTATACTGTAAGTTACCATTAAATAGGCAATTTGGAAAGACTGGAACACAACACATTTAATACTTTAGTTGGCTTTTAGGTTCAATTAAGTCAACCAAGCCAAATGCAGTATCTTGGAACTACAAGCTGCTTGCATTTTCATTCCTTATGATCCTTCAATTCAATGATCAAATTAAAAGCTTTAATGCTCAAACTGAAATTGTTCAGATTGTTTAGATATTGCTGATTTTAAGAGTGATCTGTGAAACCTGATCCAACTCCTAGGATGACCAATCCCTGCTTTACAGTAATTCTATTAAAGGACAAAAGAACAGCCATACTGCCAAAATTAATGGGTACAGTGGCAAATAAATGTCCTTGTAAGACGGGTAATTTCAGTCTGTACCATAAATAAAAGGGGTCCATTTTATTCTAAATACAATGAGAGCTAAATTAAAATTATTTTTAATGCTAACATTTTAGAAACAGCATACAATAAGAGGGTCTATTAGATGTAAAGACCTCTATAATAAACAAATACAGCTGAATTGAACAGAACTGATGAAAACAAATTAAACCCATGTTCTTAGAGCCTTATACAGTATGTTGTTGCCACTGAAAAGCAGGCTGGATGAGAGTAGTATTCCGCAGTATACTGGAATCCAGTTTAGTCAGATAAAGGCCTCTGTATACCCAGGTACCCCAGACAAGCTTCATAGCTGTCCATAGAGCACCATGTCTGAAAATGAACAACATTAATCAGAGTCTATTCAACATCAGCTCCCAACTTGGACCTGGTGTCCCACACAAAGAAAAATTCACAAGCTACAACCTTGACCCGGTCTTCAGCAGATGATTATTGTGTTTTTTTATCTTACTCGGTGGAGGATGAAATAGAATATCTCTGGGATAACAACAGGAAATGTCTCAACAATGAGACGAAAACGTCTGACAAATTCAGTGGATATTTCACTCAGATGTTAATCAGGGAAGAAATCAGCAACATGCCTGAGGCTTAGGAAAGACAATGTTCCAAATGAAATAGCATTTGTATAGAAGAGGCAAGACATGCTACAGATACTAGAAGCACTCAAGATTAATTTCCTGGGTATGATGATATCCTATCAATTACTGAAGGAAAACAGAGATATTCCCAGGCT